ATGACAGAATTTTCATTTTTGGGTGAACTATCCCTTTAACAAAACGTACAACCCCAAGCTTTTAAATGTTTTTGGAATTCTAATTTCCTTGTTTAGACTCTTGGAACACTTTTATTAACATTCCTTTTCGAAGAAAAATTAAAGTGAAGCATCAAGGCTTTCAGTAGCATAATTGGAAACCTTGTTTGGATTAAAATTCCACTTAATATTAAATGTGGTCCATGTGATGCCATATGCAGCAGGGTGAGCAGATTGCATGTTGTATTTTCTTCCTAATTGAGATTAAAAGTTCACTAGATGTGTTTTTCAGACCACATATGTTCATAAGTGGATAAGTGGTTTGTAAATTTGCCCCAGCTCATATGAATCGGAAAGATTATTATCCGTTTTGATGCATTTGCTAATGCTGCTGTTTTTTATGTGTTTTGTTTCCTCCAGCTTAACCACTAAGGTCCTGAACAGGATTTGCGGTCTGTCAATGAGGAACTACAGGCTCATCTTCTGCCATAACCTGAAGCAGCCATAGATGAACAATCCGTTTGCTACTAGTGAGTGGAGCAGGAGATAAAGTGAACTTCTGGGCATTTCTACAACAAGGTAAGCTCTGCTATGATGAAAAAATCAATTCATATTGCAATCAGATAATATGCGTGAGACCAGCTGGTGTTGTCATGAAGACATCAGGTATCTCGACAGATCAAGTTCAGATTGTGTGTACATTTCTGATCATGCTGAACGCTAATCAGATGCAGTCGCGGAGTTTTTCCTTAACATGAACAGCTTGTTCGCTGTAGCAGTATGGTTTGTGTTGTTTGTGTTGGAATTGGCATGTTGAACGAGAATCGGAGCCACCTGCTACCATCAACCAAATTGGCGTGCCACATCTGACAGCTGTACAATCTTTGCACATGACAGTCGCTCCACTTATTTAAGCTCTCTTCACTCGCACACGATAAGAACCGGCGCTTCCGAGATGGGAGAGGTCCCGCTCCAATTTTCAATTTTCTTGGCATCTCTGTGTGCAGACGGACTGAAGCAGCCAGGCTGTGGAGGCGATGAGGAAGAGTCTCAATACTTCCCTCAGCGACTCCCTCAGCGCGGCCAGAGTGTTCGGGATCCCCCTGGAGGAGGTGCAGCACAGTGGGCAGCCAGGACATGAGGTCCCCCTGCTGGTCAGGAGCATCGTGGAGTACATTGAAGAGCACGGTGAGTGAGGGGGGACCCTGGTGATTCCTGGTACTTTCCTCCTAGCCTTTGTTTATTTGTTTTTGACTATCGTCAATGATAGCAGCTTTATAGTTACTGAAACCACTCTAGGGACAGACCAGAAAGTGCATATTTATCATTTGAATCATGGTTTTACGACGTTTCTGATCTATTCAGATAAATGAAAATGTTACATATACACATACATACATATCAAAATACATTCAAGAATATATTAAAGTCAAAACATTGTCATTGAAGAATGTAAGCTTACTTTCTATTCTTT